CAAGCTTTTGACTGTAAATTTTAAGTTATCCCTTTTACGACATTGACTATGTTAGTTTTTTTCCTTCAAGCAGTTTCTTTTCTGTGTATTTGGATTTTTGTTTGGAGACAAAAGCATTCATGTTAGTGATTATGATATTTTGTGAATCGAATGTAATGTCTTAACTAGCGCTCGGGCCGAACCGGGAATTTGCCGTAATCTTTTTATTTCGTTCATTTTGCAGTTTTCGATAATTGCAAACATTATGAAGTTCTAAGTGACAGAGAGCGGGCTGCTGGAGTTCACAGGGGCAATATCCTTAAGTGTGACCAGAGGGATCTTGTTACCCCCAAATGGTACAGGTTTACAGGTGCAGCTGGTGTGCAGATGCCAACGGCCTGTGTTCCAAAACATTACTGCGGAACTCATGCGCCAGGATGGTTGAGTGGCTCACATCCAACAAGAGTCGGGCAGGTTGTGAACGGGAAGGTGTGTTTCCACTGGGGCTCCAATTGTTGCAACTGGAATGCAGCCATTCAGATAAAGAAATGCAATGGGTTTTACGTGTACAAGCTTTCGAGGACACCAGTATGTTGGCTGAGGTATTGCGGAAACGCAGGGTTTGGTAAGTCTATAGTTTTTATTAACTTTTTACTGGTAGTGTTACAGGATAGAGATATGCAATTATGTCGTGATGGAAGCTTTTGCCCTTTAGATGACTTGAGAGGTTATGAAAATAGGGTTCATACTGCATAGAGTTACAGCATCTCGCCGTTATTATTTATAAGATTGTTGTTTTCTATTAATCTTCATTATTCTCATTATTATCATTTTAAATATACCTATTATTAATATAATATTATTATTCTCATTATAAATACTATTGGTATTATTTTTCATAACAAAATCTCTTAGACCCGTGCAAAGCTAGTAAGCCTTGTCAAAACGGTGCCACCTGTGTAAACCAGAATGGTGGGTACACTTGCCTCTGCAAGCCTGGGTTTCAAGGAAAGAATTGCGAGCAAGGTGAGGTATTTGGGAGGATATCCTTAAAAACCATTGGATCTACAACTAGATTGAAAAATATTGGCGCCTATTCTTTGTTCACTGAACTTGCTGTAATTAACTGCCGGTGGTTTGTCAGAAAGAATGGAAAACTTCTCCACGTAAACAAAAAAATATATACTTTGTCAAATAATAAAAACATGAGTTCGTTAAAGGAAGTTTATTTTTATTCCAAATTCCAAATTAAGAGTTTTGCATATCTAATCATGGACATATCAAACAATAATAAAGGAATGGAACATATAGTCCTTTAAGGTGAAGTGAATGTACGAAAGGCGAAAAGCAATCCTATAAAATAGAGGCTGGCCTGGTTTTTACTGTTTGATACTGTTACGTACATATTTACATCCAGAAATGAGGTTATCGAAATATTTATTATGTTAATAGTAATACATGATTTTAATGACAACAGTGATGATAGAAACAAAAAGATTTGTTTGGTTTGTCTTCAGATGTTAACGAATGTGTCGCAAAACCTTGCCGTAACGGTGGAACTTGTGAGAATTTAAAGGGTAGCTACAGATGCAAATGCAAAGCAGGATTTCTTGGCAAACACTGCGAGATAGGTTTGTATGCTTGCCATTTTTTTTCTTTAGCGTTGATGTTGCTCTTTCTTTTTTGTTGTTGTTGTTACCGTTTTTCTTTCAAGCTTTTTCCTGTAAATTTTAAGTTATACCTTTAACGAATTTTTAAATTTTTCCTTCAAGCAGTTTCATTTCTGTTTATTTGGATTTTTGTTTAAAAGCAAAAATATAGTTTTTTAATGTTTATGGTATTTTCCAAGTCGAATATAATTTCTTAAGTGGCGCTAGGGATAAACTAGGAATATGCGTAATCTTTTTATTTCACTTATATTGCAGTTTTCGATAATTGCAAACATTACGAAGTTCTTAATGACAGAGAGCGGGCTGCTGGAGTTCACAGGGGAAATATCCTCAAGTGTGACCAGAAGGATCTGGTAACTCCCAAATGGTACAGGTTTACCGGATCAGCCGGCACCCAGATGCCAACGGCATGTGTTCCAAAACATTACTGCGGAACTCATGCGCCAGGATGGTTAAGTGGTTCACACCCAACTAAAATCGGGCAGGTTGTGAATGGGAAAGTGTGTTTTCACTGGGGTTCCAACTGTTGCAACTGGAATGCAGCCATTCAGATAAAGAAATGCAATGGGTTTTATGTGTACAAGCTGACAAGGACGCCTGTTTGTTGGCTGAGGTATTGCGGAAATTCAGGATTTGGTAAGTTTAGAACTATCCTCCATCTTATTCAGAAAAAAATAAACGAAAGATTAATCTAAATGATGTTTATATTCATATTTATCTCCACTATTCACAGACCCATGTAAAGCAAGCAGGCCTTGCCTAAATGGAGCCACCTGTGTCAATAACCAGGATGGATACAAATGCCTATGTAAGCCTGGCTATCGAGGGAAAAATTGCGAGCAAGGTTAGGAATACCATATTTCTGTCTTATGAGTTTTCTTGCATGATTTGTTTCGTTTCGTCCTGTTTTTTCGTTTGTTTGTTTAATCGTCCACACGTAGATCGTCACCATACTCATGCTGTACCTTGCTGAGGTGAAAACCTTTCGTATATTTTTCCAGATGTCAACGAATGCTTAACTAGACCATGTCTCAACGGTGGAACATGTCAGAATTTACCAGGAAGTTACAAATGCAAATGCAAACCAGGATTCTTAGGAAGACGCTGCGAGACGGGTAACCTTAAAGGATATTTTTTTTTTGAACCACTGGCCTTTTGAGTATTGCCTCTTCTGATTAAATGTTAGTGCAACCTCAGATTTACCAAATTCTGATTATTTAAATATTCTTTGTTAGAGTAGGAAATTGGATTAATCGCAAGTCGCACATAACCTCTGGAAATACAATGATAGCTCATCAATGTCTCTAAAAATTTGTGCAATGTTTTTTTGCAGCGTTTAATCCATGCTTGCATTACGAGACCCTCGGTGACAAGGAAAGAGCCGCAAGTGTCCATAGAGGAAATATCTTGAAATGTGACCAGAGGGATTTAGTAACGCCAAAATGGTATAGATTTACAGGGGCAGCAGGCACTATGATGCCTACCTCCTGTGTTCCGAAGCAGTACTGCGGAACTCATGCACCGGGTTGGTTGAGCACTGCGCATCCATCAGTCGTCGGGCAAGTTGTCAGCGGAAAGGTGTGTTTCCACTGGGGGTCTAGATGTTGTAACTGGAACGCGAATATCCAGATAAAGAAATGCAAAGGATTTTTTGTGTATAAGCTTGCAAGGACTCCGGTGTGTTATCTCCGCTACTGTGGCAATGCGGGATATGGTAAGATGTATTGATGAAATACATAATTATGTCAGAGAATGAAGCTTATTAAGTTCAGTATATTTAGAATTCGTAAAGTTTGAGCTGACTGACCAAGATGAATGTTTTCTTGCTAGGCGAGTGTAAAATGAATAAACCATGCAAGAATGGGGCAAAATGTATCCAGAAACCAGATGGGTATTCTTGCGTCTGTCCTTCAGGTTTCCAAGGAAAGCATTGCCAAAACGGTAAGTTAAAAAAAAAAAAAGAGAAACAGCGTTAGATTTACGATACTGGTAACATGGAAGCTTGACGAAGACCGGCTACATCACTGAACGGCTTTTTAAAAGATGTTACGATTCTGTTGCTCCTAGCATTAAATTTTTTTAAAAACCGGCATCCCAAGTACGATGTGACTCAAATTAAAATAAAAAAAACAAAAAAAAAGAGAAAAACGACAAAAAGTTGAGTGTTATCATGTTTAGAAAAGTGTTATAAGTCGCTAGCGAGGTTTACATCAATGAATGTTTATCACTACGTGAAGGTTACGTGTTCATGCGACATTCAGACACATTCTTTCAGACATCAAGAATTCTTGCTATCGACAAGTTTCTATGGCCATTAAACTAAATCAGTGCGGTTAAGGCTGAAAAAATCAAAGGCTCAAATGAGTCTTTATTTTCCTTTGTCGCCCTACATTTGATGCATTAAGCTGAATACTTCAGGATTCAGGCCATTCTTGCATTACCTAAAATGAATGACTGGTCATCCTAAATGTTGATAGCTTTGTCGTAAAAAGCTTAGCCATCAGGAAAAGTATTATTAGGGTATGGATTCCAAGTTAAATTGTCATCAGTTTAGGGGAATTTTAAATTTTGCCAGACTTTGTGAATAATCTGATCAAATTTTCGTACCATCCCTCAGAAATAAACGAGTGCCTGGTACACAAGCCATGCAAAAATGATGCAACATGTATCAACACAATCCGAGTGCACCTTTCTCGTTGTTTCAGCGGATTCACGAGAAAAAATCGCAACCAATAAATAAATAATATATAATATATAAAATAATAATAATAAATATCGCATTTGCCTTTAGGCCCACAACGTACGTTTTCGAAATCGAAATCGGCCTAATCAGATAACCTTGAGTTAGCTAGATTTTCAAACTTTGTGTACTTAAAAGGCACAATAACGTTCGTCCTAGAGTTGAGATCATTTTTTCGTTTACCTTTCAGACATCAACGAGTGCCTAACAACAAAACCGTGCAAAAATGGCGCCACTTGTGTTAATAGCAATGGGGGATACAGGTGTCTTTGCGTCCCTGGATTTCAAGGGAAACATTGTGAGACAGGTACAAATAGTTCTCCATAGTAAAATAAAGCGATCAAAACTGTACGCTGGTGTGGACGCAAAGAAAACGAAGCGTTTATAATAACACGAGAACAGCGTTTCGAAAACGTACTATGTGGACGGGGTCTCAGTCAATAAGCATTTTATCACATGACCACTGTCTAAGCTTTGAAATGTTCGAGTCAAAACAAGAAACCGGCAATTTATCGAAAAACATGACCTTTTAAAAGGTTTTCCACTTCTGTCACTCATTTTTTGCAACGAAATTGTATATTGGGGTTGACGGCTTTTTCCGGTGCGACTGACTTCAACCCGTCAGGCCCTGCACACATCAACCACCACTATGGTTTCTTATGGGATTGCGTGACAGGGGACGGACGGGTCATATGAGAATAATTCTTATAAGAAATTATCCATTCATTTTCATAATTAAACCTCCCGTGTATCCTTCTTTTTTTTATTTAGATGTGAATGAGTGTTTAATAAATAGCATATGTAAGAATGGAGGAACCTGTATCAATACTCACGGTGGATATCGATGTCAGTGTTTGAGTGGATACCAAGGGAAGCACTGTGAACAAGGTACAAAGAATCCTGTCAGAGTATCATCCTCTGACGAATGTTATGCCGGCTGTGTATCGAATCATATTAATGAATACTATAACCTATACGGTTGAGGAACATTTTTGCTTTCTCAGTGGAGTTACGTCTTTATTTGAGCATATGCTTCGCTGACATAATTTTCTTCATTTACTAATCGTCTGCACAAACGGAAGGTATCGTTGTCCCAAAGGGTTTGCTTAAAACCATTACAGACAAGAAAAGGATCATATTTGCCATTAGACACAGAAAGGGCACGTTTTCTGACCCATAACCAGCGAAATCAGGTAACCTGAAATTGGCTAGATTTTAAAACTATTTGTGTACTTAAAAGCACAAAAACGTTCCTTCAAGTGTTAAGGATTTTCTTTATATTGTTAGCAACGATGCATATCATTCAAATTACGGGATGCGCAAAGTTGTCACAATTTAAAGCTGTCTTTTATCTTTCACCTTTCAGATATCAACGAGTGCCTAATAACAAAACCGTGCAAAAATGGCGCCACTTGCGTTAATAGCATTGGAGGATACGACTGTCTTTGTGTCCCTGGATTTCAAGGGAAACATTGTGAAACAGGTACAAAAAGATTTGTAAAATAAAATAAAGCGATCAAAACTGTATCATTCTGGCCTAGAATGCTGAAGGATCCGTTGCGACCCATTGCAATAATACTTATAATAAGAAATCATCCACTCATATTCATTAATGAACCTCACGTGTATCATTTTTTAAAATTAATTAGATGTGAATGAATGTTTAATAAATGGCATATGTAAGAATGGAGGAACTTGCGTCAATGTTAACGGTGGATACCGATGCCAGTGTTTGAGTGGATACCAAGGGAAGCACTGTGAACAAGGTAGAATAATGTTTTAAAGTTTACATATACTGACGACTTTTGAGCCGTTTAGTTCTTTGACGAGATAGCGATCAATTTAGACTGTTTTAAATAACTGCTCGGGTTTTACCCTTAAGATGTGAACGAGTGCACAACGACAAGACCATGCAGAAATGGAGCCACCTGTGTGAACAAGAACGGTGGATATGGTTGCTTGTGTGTTCCTGGTTTCAAAGGAAAGAACTGTGAGATAGGTAAAGAACCTTTCTTAAAAATGATTTTCTTCATAAGTATTGTGACTAGAAACGTTCTAGCATTTTAGTTCGAAAATAAATTGTTTCTACGTTTATCTATTGATTTGTTTATGTCTGTATCTGTTTATCTGTTCACCAATTATCAATGCTTTTATTTATACGATTATTACTTTTTTTTTATAAGATGTCAATGAGTGCATCACTAGACCTTGTTTGAATGGTGGTACTTGTGCGAATCAGCATGGAAGCTATCAATGCGTTTGCCTGGCGGGATTTACCGGCAAGCACTGTGAAACCCGTAAGTGATAATGTTATTCCTGTCCGAGAATAGAATCATTTTCGAGGTTGATTGTCGTCTTCAACTTATACCTGAATAAATAGATAATCAATAAGTGTTCTTTTTTGGCAAATATTCTTATTTAGGAACAGGCACCAGCTCTTGAAATAAAAATACTTGCACGATGGTAAAATTTCGGGTAAGACAAAAGAAAGGAAAAGCAAACAAAGAAACGAACATTGGGAACAAACACGCAAAACCAATTAACATACAGCGTAAAAAAGAACAAAAAAAGCCATAAACCATAAAAAAAAAAAAAAAAAAATTGATAAATCGATATCATGGAGTATCGACTGAAGTGTGAAGTTGAGAAAGTGAAAATAAATTACTCAGCCCCTCCTCAATGACATTTGTTAAAAATTCGGTATGTGTTGTTCCCATTCGCTCATTGATATGCCGCAAGAGCTTCATGGTGCATAAATAAGTCCGAGTTGTTCACATGTATTCGTCAAGAACAAGTTGAAAACGTTCAATAATGATCTTTTTATAGAAATGAGTAGCTAAAATGTTCATGCTTAACTCTGTTTCATGATAATTAAGGATGAAAATCGCGTTAGGACTGTGCCCAAATTTTCCTGAGTGCACGTAGAGATGCATTTAGTTACTCTCTACGTCCATTTTCGTTAATACGATACAGGAGACCTTGCTCTCTTGGATGATGATAAATACTGATGTTTATAAAAATTAAAGCACCCATCTTTGTTTTCAAAAGAAATCGATGCATGTGCAAGTTACTCGGTGCTAGATGAGAAGGACCGTGCAGCTGGAAACGATGCAAACAAGTATACGTGCGACCAAAGGGATATTGCAACACCGGCGTGGTACAGGTTTTCTGGAGACGCTGGCGATAAAATGGCGGACTCCTGTGTTCCTGAGTTGCACTGCGGAACACATGCGCCGGGGTGGTTAAATGGTGATCATCCCGTAAATGAAGGGGAGGTCGTCGAGAGGCAAGCTTGCTTTCACTGGGGATCCAGTTGCTGTAAATGGTCTACAAAAATAAAGATAAAAAAGTGTAAGGGATTCTTTGTCTATGAGCTTCAAAGAACTCCAGCCTGTCATCTACGTTACTGTGGAAACTCTGGTTTACGTAAGTGACAAAAAGTACCAATATTTCCATTGAATTTGTATGTTAGACCTGATAGAAGGACAATCGAAGTCTCCAGTGGAATATATTTTGGGGTCCTAATATTATATCGGTCTGTTTCATGGTGCCTGATTTATTTCTTTTTTTAAGTATGAATTGATATAGTCATTGTCTGTCTGTCTGTCTGCTTTTTATCTGTCGGTTGATCCTTCTATCTTTCTCTACAAATGAATCCATCATCCACATCTTTTTCTCTGAACTTTAGCCGTGAACGAGTGTGCCGTTACAAAACCATGCAAGAACGGAGCAACCTGTGTTGATTTGAAGCGTGGATATCAATGCCTCTGCGCCCCAGGGTTTACAGGAAAAGATTGTGAACAAGGTATTCTAATACAGATGTGTAACAAAAAATGGAACGAGTTGAAATTAATGAATGACAAAGATTGATTGAATGATAAATGAATGAATACCGATTCATGCATCAACAAAGGAAATTCTAACGCGGATGACTTTCCTACCTGAGTTAATATGCGCTTTTACTATGTTAAAAGAAGTTTGTGATTGTTCCATCAGATGTAGATGAGTGCTTGATAAGCGGTCTGTGTAAGAATGGTGCCACATGTGAAAACAGCGTGGGTGGATATCAGTGTAAATGCCCCAGTGGATTCAAAGGAAAACGCTGTGATGAAAGTAACAAAAAAGATCAAAAATAAAAAGAATTGAAAGAGAAATGTTACTTTATTCATTTCAAGCATTCTTATAGGGAGTTTGGTTAGAAGAAATTGCAGTTTTTCTATGAGGATTTTTACCGGTTCCCGTAATTGAGAGGATACTGTATTATTGTTGCAAATATCCGTCAACCTCACTAACAGTCGCCTTCAGCAATCCTTGTGAGACCCAAAGCGCCATAGAGGTGACTGAGAGACGGACCGACAAAGCAACAGCAACAATAACAATAACGAAAACAACAAAACATGTATAAACTTCAACGCAAGCGATAAATTTTATCATGTATCTTTATTCTTAAGCCTTTGAAAAAATATATTTATTTATTTTAATACAATTCTGAAGTTCCAACGCATGAATGTGACTTCCTTATATCTTTACATGTATACCTCTACGCCCTTCAGATGTCGATGAGTGTTCAGCTAATACTAAATGTAAAAATGGCGCAACGTGTGTCAATACCATTGGCGCATATCAGTGCCTTTGTTCACGAGGATATCAAGGGAAACATTGCGATCGAGGTCTCAATTTTGTAATTACCAACGGACCAGTCATTTTCCGATCGCCTGGGGGATATTAGGTGTATCACATAGTTTACAAGGGGAACATAACAAGGATCAGCCGTCGTTAAAAGATTATATATATAAGGTTTACTGGGGGAAAGGATCATTAGAATTTTACAGAGCCTTACGGTGGGATAAGGTAAATTTCATCCTTACTTACATCATTTCATCAGATGTGGACGAATGCGCGAACAGTCCATGTAAAAATGGTGGAAGTTGCATGAACCTTAGAGGGAGTTATAGATGCGACTGCATTAAAGGATTTACAGGCAAACACTGCGAACAAGGTTTGCTAGCGATTTTTATAAATTTTTTGTATTTGATATACACTCAACCGTCCTACAGACTACAGTGACTTAACAGCTAGATTTATGCACATGTATGTATATGTATTTCACAGACATAAATGAATGCATAACGATTCAACCATGCAAGAACGGTGCAACGTGTATAAACACTATCGGTTCCTATATGTGTCGCTGTGACAGTGGATACCAAGGATTACTCTGCGATCAAGGTATACATATATCGACCCTTTACTACAACCACCATTGAAAATTCAGTATAATGAAACCTAAGCAAATGCCTCCAATGAAGTCTCAAGTAACTGTTTGGGACACAGAAAAAAATTGAGCAGAAGACCTCAGATATAAGTTATGGCACAGTACTAGCTTGCACAATCAACGTGTCACGATGTCACGATGCTTCATCTGATCTTTTTTTCCATCCCCAAAATAAATAGCCTTAGTAAACACAGTGTAAATGCTTTTATATATTGTTTTAGACATCGACGAGTGTTCTTCATCAAGTCTGTGCAGAAATGGCGCCACCTGTACAAACACGATCGGAGGATACAAGTGTTCTTGTGCCAGTGGATTCGAGGGGGAACATTGTGATCAAGGTAAAGCGTATCAATAAAACAATATCCTTTAGTTATAATTAATATGGGCAATTTAATAGTGGCAAATAGAAAAGGAATTTATAAAAGATCTGAATTAACAGTCACGTGATGGAGCTTTTTCACTTTGTTTACCTCTATTACCCATTTTAGATATTGATGAATGTAAGAGCGGTCCTTGTGTGAACAGTGGAACTTGTTACAACAAGCCTGGCAGCTTTGAATGCAAGTGTCCTGATGGATATGATGGCGAGCGCTGCGAAAATGGTATATAAAGCACAAAGTTAGATATCAAATTATAATTTGTTAGTCAACGCTCAAATGAGCTTTAGTCTGAGCCTCTATGGCATAAAAATAGCTGTTTGCCTGTTGATTCTGGGTAAATGAGATAATTCGCTCATAACCTTTCAACTACAATTATATAACGTTTGTCGAGAAATTATAAAGCTAGTATGATGCGTGAAACATTTATGAATACCTTGTCTGATAATTAAAGAGATTTTGCCTATCTGATCACCAGTCGGCGTGCACGTAATTTCGTGAACATATTGAGGTCTCTAGGTCTTTCGGATAATCTTCTTTTCTAGATATCGACGAATGCGCTACCAAAGACCCATGCAAAAATGGTGCCACTTGCATAAACATAATTGGCGGATTCCAGTGTTCATGCGCAAGTGGATTCGATGGGAAATATTGCGAACAAGGTACCTTTCTTTTATTGTGCAAATTTGTATTGAGAATTAGGCATTCCGCTAGACATTTCTTGAGTATTTATGATAAGTACTCTCTGCGTGAAACGTTGTAATATATTAATTTAGCAAATACCACACAGCTAAATAGTGCTTTTCGCGCGCGCTGATTTTCTGGTTTGAAAGTTTTAAATAAACTATTTATTTTGTTTGTTTCTGTGTGATACATACTAAAGAGGAAAAATAGTCACCTCCACTTCGGGGAATTATCGTTAAGTACTGTCTGTAGCAGCGTCTATATAGGCCCGCGCACATGTTACAAGCTCAATCGTTTAGCGCTGCTTATAAACTATATTTTGCTAGATGAGATTTCAAAGTAGTTTCAATGATACCACATTTCACAACGCTCAAGAAAGGAGAGATGCCAGTTACATGTAATAGCTGACCACCGATTTTCCACACTGGTTAGTTTTATTTGTAGACGAAACGTCCACTTTAATATTTTGCGATTTTAAGAGCCTTTACGATGTTTCGTTTTCCAGATAAGGATGAGTGCAAAGTGAACCCATGCAAGAACAGTGCTACGTGTATCAATCTGATTGGTGGGTTTGAATGCAAATGTTTACCAGGCTTTCAAGGGGATGTATGCGAGCAGGGTACGTATCTCTTGATGAATTTGGGTATACCAGTAAAATAATTCTTTAAATCAAATATGTCTACACACTTAATTTGTGGAAGAGATGAGGATTAAATTGCAACACTGAATTCAATGACAGATATTGACGAGTGTGTGGGAGACCCTTGTCTGAACTCTGGAAACTGTTCAAACACTCCTGGAAGTTACAAATGCGAGTGTATCAAGGGATTTGAGGGCAAAAACTGCGAAAAGGGTATGTATCTCTGTTAACTTTGGGAGTTATAGCTCAGTGAACGTCGTTATGCGGAGGAGTAGCGGATGAACCATGAAAACCCCCTTTAACCCTGTATTACGTCGCAGTTAGGTTTTGAGATCACAATTTGCTAATCATCCCAATGGAAAGCTCTCCTTTGACACAATGACAAAAAGATTGAGGTATAATCCAAATTAAAAAGGCCGAATTGTACTTGAGTTACTGGAGTACTGTAAGGTGGCATCATTGTTACACTGTCATTAAATACTTTACTCAGACACCTAGCCTTACTTTTGTCCCGCTAAAATGAAAGAAATTGCTCATTCCAGAAAATAAATAGAAGTGAAAGTTAAAACTAGCTGAAATAATAAGTATTTCGTGTAATGTTTTATTTTAAGTGTTTTTGTTTCAAAATGCAGTACGATTATGAACTTCGTCCTAATTTTCGCATGAGCGTAATATGTCAGCTTGATAAGGTAAACAGGGAGGCAGATCATCAAGAGTCAGGTCGAAATTACCACACAGTTGAAGCGTTCTATGGACAGAAAGGCTTCATCGGCTAGCTATGATTATTACAGAGAGAAATATAAGGAATGTTAGCCTACGATCGATTGTTAACACACACTCTTCATTTCATTTAGATGTAGATGAATGTAAAGGGAGCAACCCCTGTCAAAACGGTGGCACGTGTCAAAATAAGAAAGGCACTTATCATTGCTCATGTCCAGATGGAATTACAGGCTTTAACTGCGAGATAAGTATGTCATAAACATGAAAAGGAAATGTCTGAATTAAGTATAATCTATCAGAGTGAGCAGCCTTGGTGTTAACAAATATTTCACTTCTGTGTTTTTTGAACTCCCATGTGACTGTTTTTGTTCCTCATGCTAAAAGGTCTTCTTCCTCCTCCTCTGGTTCATCTTCTTCTTTCTTCTTCTAATTATCTTTCTTCATCAGGATCTTATTCCTTTTCTTCATTTTCTTCATCTTTATCTTCATTATCATCTTCTTTTTTATTCTTCTTCCTCTTATCCTTCTTCATATTCGTCTTCTTCTTATTCATCTTCTTCTCCATTATCAACATCTTATTCTTCTTTTTTTTCATCATCTTCTTTTTCTTCGTCCTCCTCGTCGTCTTTTTATTTCAACATTAATTCTTATTTGAAAATCACCCTCTATGTGTTTACCATGGCCACTTGTTTCTTTCAGAAATATCCTTCAAAGAGCTTGGTTGTTTTAGAGACAGGTCCAACGACCGTACAATGACTTTGCTAAAGAACCTACGAAAGTACATTGACTGGCGCGACATGTCCAAGACAGTTAAAAACTGTTCTGAGATTGCAAGAGGCACACCGGGGTAAGTAGCTTTGGCAAAATGTGATCAGTTTGCTGGCCTTAATTAGTTTCCTCTGTTACATAGCATATTCATTGCTCTGTTATTTATTTTACATTGTGTTTGTTACGGTATAAGCTAACCGACAGAAAAATACTGCAATCCTACAGACTCGACAACTTTATTAAACAAAGAGTAATAATCTTAAAGAGGAGCGACTCCTAAAGGCAGTACAATATTTATCCTCGATAAATTTACTTAAGCCCACCACAGTCTATATCTTAGCTCAGCACTATACCAAACTCACAGTTTCCTCCAACGTTTCTTGAAATTAGCAATCTTCCACTAGAGCTCACCCTCACGGTATAACTTTCTACACAGTTGGTCACTCCTGACAACAACAACTACTACTACTGCATACCTGAGTCCTGATATACATTCACAAAGTGTGCTGGAACATTCCAGAAGCTTACAAAAGAACAATATAGAAGTATTACGAAATAAATGTGTGAAAGCCGTTCTATGGTACGCATGTCAGCATGACTAAGCAGTGTGGAGATTTCGAGAAGCTTTTATGTACAACAATAATTACTCATAACATGTTATAAAACTTGTACCTCCAAATGATGGAAGGAAGGCTACTTCATAGAACATTTACCTGAGCATCCAAGGTACATTGCATTCACGGTTTACATAAATTATTGACCTTTTTTTTTTTCGTGTATTCTGCTCATAGGGTTTACTACTTTGCGATTCAATATTACGGAGAGTGTTTCGGTGCGCCAGAGGGTACCAAGTATGATAAATTTGGCCGAGCATCCAACTGCTGGTCCGGTGTGGGAGGAGCTAACAGCAACTTCGTTTACACTCTATATTAAAGCTATTGAGAGGTTGAGAGGTAAGATCATTTTATTTAAAACCATCAATTGTAGACGAAATTTACGGTGTTTCTGTGGCCGAAGCCTTTTGTCTTACTCAGGGCGATCAATGATTGAAATATCTTTTATACATACATACCAGATATGGAACCGAACAACAAGAACAGGAATTTCAACAAGGGCAGAGAGATATGTTTCGAATTAAAAAAGACACGTTCTGAAAACTACCGATTTACTCGAAAAGTTTACGGGCAGGTGGTAGCCAGAAATGGTCTGAAATTGTGTTCAATGTGACAGTTTGTACTCACCTGCTATGCATTATTAGTGCAGTATGTGACTAAAGAGTTTTTAAATCAGGTTTCTAACGAAGGATTGTAACAGAGAATTGCATAATCTTATGGGGGACCCTAAGACAACATTACCCAGATTTCTTCCGTGGAGCGTGATAGTTCGGGTGAAAGTAAACCTTGTTCAAAAACTAACGAATTAGAGCAGATTCCTCTCAACATATTCTGATAACGACAAAAAACCGTACACGTGACTTAGTTACTAAACCAGTATAATCCACTGCAAACCGAACATATCGGTTTGTAGCTCTATCGTCACATCACAAAATTAAAAAGGCGAAGTGGCTGAGTAATCAATTTCCACGACTTAACAAATTTCCCTGAAAAACGTTGGGTCAAGTTTTCGAAATTTCTGCGTCACCGACAACATTCCTTTTCAGTCTTACCCTACAACAAGTAGGTACAAACCCTTGATTTCTTGATTTCTAGTTGACTCACAGTTCTATTTCTAAAACTTATTGCAGAAGTGAGCTAATCAAGGGCTTATCTACTGATGGTACTTAACTTGAAGCTTAAGAAAACTGTGATGAACAAAGCTGTCAACAATAAAAGAGAGGTTTAAACCGAAGAGGTCTGAATGTCGTATATTTTAACTGGTGATGAGGACTTTTTCGAAATTACCATCTGATCGCAACCCATTTAGGCACAGGTAGTAAAAATCAGCAAAATGGCAATAAAAAGTGTTTGCTTTTTAAGAACTTTCGATTTCGCAGGGAACAAAAGAAAAACGATCGCTAAAGTTGCTTGTATCTCGGTAAGAGAATCCAGAGAAGTTGATCCCACAAAATATACTACAATTCATTACACTGCTTGTCGAGAAATTTACCTTGTAAACATGGTGGACCGCCTCCTGAAACACAAGCGATCACACACATTTATGGTCAGCCCTGAGGCAAATGATTTATTGATTTTCTTTCATGTCCTTACTTACTTTACTAAAACTTAAAGCTGCTCGGAGAGCCTTAGTTTACAAAGCGGTAAACATAATTAGTGAACGATGTTCCCACAGCGTCATTAAGGCAGTTGGTAGCTTTTCCCTCTCTAGCGTAAGTATCTCCAGCCTCAGGACCTGACCAGCACTCCGCATAATACTGGACAGAAAAATATGCGTACCTGAAAAGCAAAAAAAACAAAAAAAAAAACATACTTTCCGGTTTATTTTTGTATTCCTCATCTCTCATGTGGGGCCTGCTAGATAAGAGGTTATTGTTTTGGACACCAGGTGAAGAGGCCTAGGTCCATGCCTCGACATTACACTTATGTTCCCTTATTCACTTCAGGGTAAGCCGCCATTGCTAAGTAATGCTGACAAAATAATGGGGATAGCCTTGCAGCTGATTCGTCAACGTCCATACATATAGGTTGGTAGTTGACTTGTAAGTATTTCTGACATCCCATCTAAAAGGCCAAAACTTTTGGGAGAATGTAGTTCACAACCAGTGCAAGAAGAAATACTGTGCGATCTCAAATTAGATTGTAGATCATCCCCGCGGGAAGATCCAAATCAAGGCTTTTATATGAACATTGATTTTTTTTTATTCCTATTCGTTAATGTAGCTTTTCATTTGAAACACATTACCCTTTTTTCTGCGCCAGTTTTGCGCACTTGTCGACTGTAAGCTCCACGTGTTTCCAATTTATTTCTTTGCGGAAGCTCCCAAGAAATTCGGGTAAGGGGCGCGGCGCCACTCCTTTATCATTGAAACAGCCCACAGGTTCATAAGAGTTCCCTACAGAAAAAAGAAAGGTTGCAGCGATCATCAGTACTGTTTCAATTATTATGTATTCATGCCGCTTTCTTTTAACCGGAAAATGTGAGGATAGGTCTACCACACTTACTGATGGCGGGTGTTGGCATGGATTGGGCTGAAAAATAAAAAAAAATATAAACTTTATGAAAAATAACTCCATCAAAAGCCTTTATTCCTGTAAACATTTTAACCATACAAAATGTTAATATTTACTCTTTGGACGTTAATGTTATACCGGAATTTTTACTAGTCGGGCTTATTGACATGTTTTTTTTTTTTTAACTTTTTATGGGGGATTTTCTTCTAACCGCAAAACGTAATCAAGTTGAATCGATTTTTTCATGTCCGCCTGTGGATCGGAATTTATCTTCTTATTTGACTCCTCTACGTTTGTTAGGTTTTGATTGTCGATTTAAACTTTTACACACTGCTGTAACTATTTTATCCTCAATTCACTTATACATAGAGCAAAGAGCATGGGATCAAAGTTTCCTAACCTTGATCGCAGTAGAAACCTTCCTATCCAGATGGGCAGATGCATCTATACCCAGCAATGCCATTTATGCATGTTGCACCATTTTGACAATAGTGACTGGCACATTCATCAATGTCTAAAAAAAGAGAAAATACCTACTCTATTAAACAATGAACACCTCAATATTCGCGGTTGTGTTGTAAATAAATTAAAGGGCCTACTCGAAACTTAGGGAATCGAGCGAAAAAAGAACATTTTCCATCGTATGCTTTGTTTGTCGGCCAGTCTGCTCATAACTAAATGGAGCTTTCAGTTTTACTCACCATTTTCACAATCTTTCCCTTCCCATCCAGGCATGCATTCACAAACGTACCCGCCATTTGAATTGCGACAGGTACCTCCATTTTGACACGGGAAAAGTTCGCATTCGTTCACATCTTAAAAGGACAAAAGCTTCTTTACATCGATCATGAATTGACCTAAGAGTTTGTACTTAGTATGGACTTCTCTTCGTGAAGGTATCTGTTTGGCCGGCCAGATTAAAATTTTAATATCCTTACATAAAATTCGAGTAACTACCCAGTGGTTGGAACCTTAGACATTAGTAAAGGAAATAACTGAAGTTATTTTTTAAAAAGTATTTTGACCACAAATATGGCTCGATGGAATAGCTAACGCACGTGACTTCACTCAATCCATTCCAACAAATCTTAAAAACATTAGCTTAAAAGAGGATCTCACCGCGACTTCCCCATTGGAAAGCTATAGAGAAATATCATTGAGCTGTAAACCAACCCTTGTCGCATGCTTTTCCGGTCCACTGGTTTGTACACTGACAGGTGAAATCTCCTTGGGTGTTGGTGCAAACTCCATCATTTTGGCAGGGGTTGTTCATGCATTCATTAATGTCTGAATAAGTGTAAGATGTTTATATATCGAAGTCAGATCAGACTTAAATAAATAACTTTATTCCGAGGCTAAACAAAAACGATAAATGGCGATAAAATATTGATTGGTAGGTCGATAATGATAAAAATTATAATGATAATCATGACGATAACACTACTAGTGAAAACTCTTTTCATTACACAGAAACTAGGCTGCGAGGAACTAACGATAGTAGGGTCTTTCTGTCTTGTTACGTTTGTAAAGACATTTAGTTACAAATACGAACAAAAATGTAATGCATCTTGCACAAAATGAAAGTTTAAATTTACTATATTTTGTTATTCATGTTTTACTTAGATAGATAAGATAGATAGATAAGTTAGATTAATAACCTACCTTGATCACATTTGGCTCCTGTCCATCCAGCGGCGCATTGACAAGTGTATCCCCCATGTGAGTTGATACAACTGGCTCCGTTTCGACATGGGTTGTTATTACATTCATTCACATCTGGAGATAAAATGATATAAGAATTGCAATCTTTTAAGGATCCAGAGAAAAGCCTCACTATTGCTTTTTCATGGATAGGTGACAATTTAGTTGAAAGAGAATTTTAATTTGCCTGGAAATATTGCCTTTTGAGCCTAAACAATTTTCCTCGTCTCGTGACATTACAAACAACTATACCTTGCTCGCAATCTTTTCCAGTCCATTGTGGGACACAGCTGCATGTATATCCTCCTTGGTCGCTTTTGCACGTTCCTCCATTCTTACAAGGATTTTTTTTACATAAGTCAAGCACTGAAAGGGGAATACCATACCTCGTGATGAATGAGATGTAGCAAAGCCTTCGCTAACCGCGTGTGAGCTAATCGATGGAACAGATATGGCCTAAATATACAGAGCATCAGCCAACCCCTTCAGCCCCTCCCTTAAGAAACTTCTCGTCTGCGATCAGCTCAGAATTGACTTTACTTGATAGCTACGCCTTTTCTTATAAGGTCAAAAAAGATAACGAAAGCAAAAGTTAAGAATAAACAGTAACCAAAAACAAACAAGCAAAGACAAGAAACAAAAAACAAACAAAGAAACAAAGCGATGCAAACTACTAAGGTTTAGTGCAGAATTTATCAGTCTGCTTCCAATTACGTATACGTTTACCTTCCTCGCAATTTTCTCCTCCATATCCATTATCGCATTTACACTTGTAACTTCCATCCTTGTTCTCACAGGTTCCTCCGTTTTGACAAGGATTGTTGTCGCATTCATTTATATCTACGGAGAAAAAGGGAAGGTGGAAATTTCAATAAAGGTCATTTACCATTTTATTCCCAAACTTCACTAACCTTGGTCGCAGAAATCTCCACCCCACCCAGCAGCGCACATACAGTTGAATCCCCCGTCCTTATTGACGCACGAGCCACCGTTTTTACAGGGGCCGTCTAAACATTCATCGAGATCTTGAGTGAAAAATTTAATTTTCAGTGGATTTATTTGACAAAAAAAAAAACAAACAAAAAAAAAACTAAGAAAGAAAGAAACGCTACCGATCACTCACCTACTTCGCAGTTCTTCCCAGTCCACCCTTTCGGACAGTTACATACATGTGAACCGATCTGATTTGTACATTGTCCGCCATTTTGACACGGATTTTTGTCACACTCGTTGACGTCTTTTAAAAAAAAAAGAAAAAGAAAAACGGTTATAATGGCATTGAATGCTACTAAAATTAAATCAAAGATTCGATTTGCTCGGCAAAATAACAGAAATGCTGTGTTTTAAAGAGTTTTCAGTAGATTAAGGCCGCATAAAATCAGTCGGTTTTTGGATTTTACTGGTTTAAAATAAAGGAAAGAAAGAAAAATTATTAGATCTTACCTTCATCGCAATGTTCCCCTTTCCACCCAGTTACACAGCTACAACGGTATCCTCCAGGTTTGTTTGTACAAGCTCCTCCGTTCTTACAAGGATTGCTAAGGCATTCATCCAAATCTGAATCAATAATCATGATCTCACCAAGTTACTTTAGCAATATTCTAGGAGTCGTCGACGGCCGCTAAGATCGTAGTTGCTTTTTCCTCAGCCTAAGTCTCTCATAAGTTGATTATCTATTCGGCACGCTTGAAAGAGATTTGTCATTTTGGAACCCGTGAAGGATGATAAAGCTTTGTCAGAGTAACACAGTTCAGAATTAAAAGTAATGGAGGATCGACTTTCCATTTGTCAATTGATACAAACACACTTGAGAGGAAAGGTGCCGGGTGATTTTTCATTCAGGGTACACTTAAGTGCCTAGGTAATGTTAAGAGTCTGATGAAAAATTAAATAAATTAAACTTTGAAAAAAAATTACCAATCAAACCTACCATTTTCGCAATGTTTGCCGGTAAAACCTGAAGCGCATGTGCACTTGTATGATCCTAACAGATTGAAACATTTTCCATTGTTCTTACACGGATTTCCACTTGCAAGTGAACACTCATCAATATCTGGATGTGAAATGAATAAAGGAAATAATGTAAAGCTAGATATTTTCTTGCATAATAAATCAATAATTTGCACGTCTTTGAAAGTTCTTTCGTTCTTCCATCCCTTTAAAAATTGGAATTTGTCGCACGAGTCTACATGGAACCTATTTCCCCACGCATAACAGTCCCATCTGTACTCTTGTTCAATCTCTTTTTTCGTTGAACTCACCTTGGTCACAATTCTTTCCTGTCCAGCCGTTGAAGCAGGAGCAGCTGTATCCTCCATCGTTGTTGTTACAGGTGCCTCCATTCTTGCAGGGATCTTTCAAACATTCGTTTATATCTGTGGGTTAGATGCAAATTTCCTCAGAGACCCTGCTTCAAAAATACGATCTTATGATTTTTTACCCCCACACTGTTTTAACCACTTATCATCTCATTTTGTCCATCTTCAATTATTATAAAATAAAGCCTTGCTAAAAATTGGAAAGTGTGCTTCCTAAGCTAGATGAGCTCAAGACAGGCCCTCTCACACTTTCCGTCTTCATTAAGTTTATGTTTATGATTCGTCAAAAAAATTAGAACTGTCACCTTGGTCACAGTTCGTTCCGGCCCACCCTGATGTACAGCTGCAACTGTATCCACCAATCTTATTTTGACAACTTCCTCCATTCTTACAGGGCTTACTGCTGCACTCATTTACATCTGTTGAAACCAGACAGATAAAGATAGCGTAACCTTACAAAATAGCGAGATATGCTGGGACATCTATTCTCGAGACGACTAGCAAAAATTTTAAAAAGTAAATTTTCTTTCTCCTGGTTATACGTTAATGTACCTACCCAAGCCCTTTCCAGCCAAACATCGGAGTTGAGTCTGATATCGACCCAAAGCTGAGTCAACATGCTATCATGATCAGGCTACCCCATTTAAATTTTTTTCATTGACTCAACCGTTTCTGCTCTTTCGGCTTCAGTTTGTTCGTGTGTTTGCTTGTTTTGTTTTTTTTTCTCTTTGCTTGACATTGCGTAATGAGAATAGAAAGCAACCAGACAGCACTTTTGTCATAATAACTCACCATCCGCGCAGAATTTACCAGTGAATTCCTTGGGACAAAGGCATTTGTAGGATCCGATAGTATTGACGCATGTTCCGCCATTCTTACAAGGATTTCCCGCCTTACATTCATCGATGTCTGCAACATAATTTGGTGCGGTTATGATGTTATCAGTTAGGATATAGAGGAATGTAATTGTACTAAGATGTTGGGATCTATTAAAAGGTGGAACTTAAAAAAAACGCGTGAAATGTTAAGACACATTAATTTTTCTTACAGAAAGTGTTCTTCCCGACACAAATCTAGAGAAACAAATTTCATAAAATGTTCCATAAGCGATTAAGCAAGTAAATATTTGGAGAAAATTGCAACCAGAATAATTATGATCATGACAACAATAATACTTGTGGAAATGGTATATCATTTTTTTACCTGAGACATGAACAGTCCCAACAGGAACGCCACCATCAAAGTTGTTTTCGCGACATTTATACTCCAAAAGCTCATAGATCTGAAGAAAAGTAAACACTTGGTAAAACTTAATTAAGATCACTAATAGACCATCTTGATAAGGTCTTATTAGCCTCCACTAACTTAGTTCAGGATCTTCTAATTTCATCTTTCCACCGCAGTGCAAATATGTGAATTTTCATATATCTAAATCTTCATTCACTCGGATGTTTATTTGTACCCAATTCATTGACCAGCTCCCAGTTGGCTTGTTAGCTCAATTGGTAGAGCGCTGCACCGGTATCGCAGAGGTCATGGGTTCAAATCCCGTACGGGCCTGAAATTTTTTCAGGTCCTACTTACAACTACTAGTTTCAGTAGTGTTCTTAGCTGCGAGGATCTTCTAATTTCATGTCAGCATTTATTGACTGTAGAGCTTGTCACCCACAGACTTCTGCCATCTATCACTAGTGTGGTTTCAGCTCTTACACGCGAACTGGTACACGCGATTTCTTCCATTTGATAAAAAATCAATTTGTACCTAAAGCTAAACAAATGAAACGATATCCAAAGACAACAAATGAACGCGCAATAGCATTCAGAAAATAAACTTCTTTAGCCCTCTACCAGATTTTAAGGTCTGCTGATCAATCGGTAAACTCGCTGTGTTTCTATGAAATTTTTCATAAGATTATACTTACCCTGACATGGTATTTCCCAGGAACACTCGGAACCTTCACATCTCTTGTGGCACAGTGCGCTTTGCAGTCAAGATCACGTTCAGCACGAATATGCCCAGCACACTTGCTCGAACCAGCTCTTGCGTGGAAGTATACTTGCCGAATGCATGTGGGGCAGTAGATGTCTTTACGACAATATTTGTAGCAGCCTGTCGTTATACAAAATCAAAGCAATTGCTAGTGAAACCTGGAAGTGTAAACCTTGGAGGTCAAATATTAAGAAGCTATACCCCTACAGAAGCATTTTACTTACGTCAAGATTCGATCTTCCCGAAACGTTGATGTCTTTTTTCGCTAATCATTAAGAAAAGTATTGTTATTATTACTATTATTATTGTTAGTATTATTATTATTATTATCAACATTATTATAATCAATATTATTATCATCATTATTCTTGTCATCAACATATCTCTAGATTTCAATTGTATATACACATGCAGCGAAAGACCAGCAGTCTCCAGTAAGATTCCTTTTAGTGTATTTATTTACCTCTCACTGAGATTGTCCCTCCTTGGGGCGCACTGAAGTCTGTTTTACCCTCAAGCCAGAAAAGTGGATCTGCAAGTTAGATTTATGGAGACCATGTTTCGATATGAAACACACTATAGGTATGTATATCCTTTTATCGCATAAACTGCGGTGTTATACAAGTATTTCCGGCCCTGAGAAAAGCCGTTACAACACACGTGAAAAAATAAGACTTTTTTTCACGTGTGTGAATTGATATAGCCAATCAGCTGCTGACACGTCACTCGCCTTTGGCGCCACTCGGTCAAGTTGACGAATGAACGGCAAAGCCTTCACGATTCTCAACAAAAGTTGTTTGTCGCAGCTTCCTCGAATTATGGCGGCTAAAACACTAAAAAAACCGTATTGCTGACAGACAGTAAAGTTCAAACTTTCCTAGAAGGGGAAGAAAACCAATTTACTAAAAGAAAAACAGAAAGTTACTTATTCAGTGGCTTTGGTGTAACCATTTCTTTCGGCTGAGAATGAAAATCGACAACTGGAAGGATTGGCCGTTTACCTGAAAGACTTCTGCTGTCAGTAAGGACAAAGTCAATAGATAAGAATTTTGTAAATTGAAAATTACGACCATTGTTGCTTTTGTAATCATGATTCAACGCATTTTCTATCTTAAGAGTTAGTGCCAACGCACTTTACGATTGTTGTTCGGGGATTATCGATTCATTTACTTTCATTCATTAATGAAGTCTGCTTTTAATCTCAGTAAAGGACTATCCTGTTTATATAATAAACAAAGTAATACATGCAGATGTGGAATTTTTCTTCTCGTGTTCAACTCGAGGAGAAATTTCATATTTACGCGCGCCCATGTATTATTATCTATATATTCCCAGATATTCCCTTAAATACCGAGGCTTCTTCAATTTCTTTTTAGGGATATTATTTTATTGTTTTTTTTTTTGTTTTTTTATTTTTATTTTTGGAAATGTTTACTTACTTCCAACGGTAACAGTTCCAAGAACTACTCTATGTGCGTTGTCAGGAATTGTACCACAATTGTACTCTAGTAAACTGTATGCCTTGAAAATAAATATGAGCATTTCAAATATGTAGCAATTTCAGCTATACGACAGAAATAAAATAATTAAGGAGAACATGAAGAACACTAATAGAGTCGAGATCAAGTGGCAAGGAAACTATCGATCGAGATTTTAGTTCTAAAAATTTAACAAAGATGTAATGGTGGTTGCGAGATCGATGATGACGTTTACGGTAAAGGTCACAAATAAACTTTGGTCTCTCAGTATTAGTTTTACGTACATATATTTTGTAGCTCCCGTACTTCGTTGGAAGTTTCATTTTATGGCTGAATTTATATTTCCAACAATTCCACATTCTTTCAGGAATTCGTGCCGTCATGCATACACTTTCATCACCCACTTGCAAATAAGGTATGCGAATACATGAAGGACAGTAGTATGGCTTGCAGAACTTTAAATAACCTACAAACCAGAGGCAAAACAAAACAAGGGAAGTGCGATATAACTCACGTAATTTATCAATGAACAAGGTGTGTAAAAAAACCAATGGATGAGCTTCATCCATTTAAGACAAGTGAGCCTAAAGAACTCTACCTTTCAGCGTAATTTCAGTTCCTCCTGGCTCGTAGAAATGTTTTGTTCCAGTAAGTTCAAATATTTCACCTACAAAGATACGATTCCATTTCGTTTAGTTCTTCAATGTCAACTTTGTGATAGGGGCATCTCTGCTATTTATTAGTTATTTTTAGACTTCAGATATCTAATTTCCTCGAAAGCGTTTACGTGGGAAATCGATAGACGACGCACAAATTGCTGGAAATAGCCGAATCTTGACGCATTATTCGTATATTGAATATTTGTATATCTCCCTTATTTTCTGACCTCGAAGGACCTTCAAAAAAAAAAAATGAATAATAATGAAAATGCTCGCCAGACATAAAATATTTATGCAACCCACCAGATCGAATTCGTGTTTCCGATGTAGCTTGGCAAAACCACAACGCAAGTACAGCAAGCAGGAGCTTCATTGCATCTATAGACAAAATTCAAATTTTGATACTCAAAAAGAAAAAAATTAAACAGTGAAAGGAAACAGAATAACATTTTATTGAACTTAGTTACCCACTTGACCAGAACCTTCGGGTGGCAGAAGAAATTAGAGGAAGCAAATGAAGCAGTTGAATGTCGCGAGCGTAAATGTTACAGTATAGATAGGTCACATTTATATCATGAAACAAAAATTTGTTTCCTTAAAGCCCTAAATATCCTGTAAAGGTAAGCTGTTCAAATTTATTTCTTTGTTGGGGTGTTATAAAAATAGAATCACTCATCATGAATTACAAGGGAGAAGGCCAAAGATAAAAACGAAGTGAGTAAAAATTTAATATGTCAAAGACTGTCTTAGAGTGCTTGAATATTCATTGGTCAAGAAAAGTTTATTTTACCATCAGGTCAACTGGGTGATAAAGCGAATAAATTTAATGGTACTTGGAACAAAGACCAAAGCTTTTCAATGCAAAGTCGTCAGCAAAGTAGTTATTAACACAATAGAGTACGGCACTAGCATTAGGGTGGTATTTGAACAGTTGTAAGCTGTGAAATAGTGTGACAAAGTCTTTCCAAATATTGCGTTAATCACAAATAAATGACTCGCCACTATTTAAAGAAAAAGTGATGGTGATACAGGAACATGCCACTGTTTGTAAAAAGGAAAAGAGCTGTATAATAAAAGTGTGTTTAAATTTCGGCAGAAAGTATAACCTATAGCATTACAAAAGAAATTCATAGTGAGTATCATAGGGCCATCCACTCAATTCGTCAGAGCGATTAGCAAAATAGATTGTGTAAGTATTAATGAATTGACGAAAAGAACAAGAGATCTGCCTTAACTAATTCTGTGTGCTTTTGTCGATCGATTTGCATTTTTAGTGGCTGGAATGTTTACAATGCGATTTGTATTCTAAATTCAGTGCAAAATTCTTCGTATGGTGCACGCTTAAGCATCATGGCCTTGCTGAATCCGCTTCCGTGTATACCAAGCGCACGTTGCTATGACAGCGAAGATGTTCAATTTGGTATGAATTTCTCATTCCTATTTGTTTTCTGTCAGTTAACATTTGTGACAATGTAAACACAGGTCTTTCGCTTTCTCTTCACCCTTTAATTTTACTTCTTCTTCCTCCCTCTTGTTAAGCAATGGATTATTCCCACACGCTCGGTTAGTTTTTTATTTTTTTATTACATTTTCTTGTTCATGGTTTGTCATTGTTTGGCAGTCTTTGATACAACATGTTTATGAATTGAGCGGATAAATCCGAAGTGATAATACCACTTGGGTGGAATTTCTACCCGATGCAGGTGACAGTTCCTATCGAAGAGTGCGTGCGAATAAAAATGGTCTCCCTGCAATTATTTAATTATTTTGGTTGGAATTTTTGTTATTGCCATCATTTTAGAAGGATGTTCTAACTAAATAGCGTCAAAAGACCTTAACAAACTAATCACTTAGCGCAATATTTCTTTGCACAGCTGGCATATTAAAAGTAAACATAAAAACGATATTAGCACAAGGGGGTTGGAGAACAAATATTGTGAGTAGATAATCAATCGACACAGAATATGCAAAAACTAATTGTCGAGTCTTCCTTGTATCAATTACACAAGTTAAGGAAGGAGAGCACGTTTACCAAACGCGAGGGACACATCTTTTAAAACAAAGAGTAAGCGAGAAATAATTCTTTCCTTTTTTAGCTGCTGTTCAAACATGGTCAGAATTACTGTTAAACTGCTTCCCCTAGTGTTTGACTATATTTAAACTTTTCATTCATACATATCTAAGCCTAATTTTAAGTAACCGCAAGAACTCCATTCGTGGCTGTGAATTAGATGAAAACGCTACAGAAGAAAAAAATAATGAAATATTTAGCTACGAGAATACTTTCTTGAACAAAATAATGCAACTTTAAACAGCATCGGTTTAAATTTTGCCATTTATTGCAACATATTAAGAGCTGACTCGTAAATCGAAAAAAAAGTGAAAAATGTAAGTTGAATTCCGCCTCCATATGGTATTATTAAATTATTTCGCGGGTTTGGATTGCACCCCTTAACTCACTGATTTATTCCTGTTACGAATAATACTGGTTAGAATCAAGGGCCCTATCTCAGCTAAAGAAGCTTTCATTATTTATTTACAGGGTAAAAAGAATTTCCCGACACATGCGTTTCTTTTTTTTTTAATATTTCTTTTAATGACACTTATTTTGCATAACCATGATGAGCAAGGAGAGAAAGAAATCGCTCGGACCTACGTTTTCTATCTATCGTGACTAAGGAACTTGGAAAGGCTAAATTGTCTAGCAAATGTAAGGCATAACCTTCATGAAATTGGAATCGATATACAGGAAAGAAGCTTATCTCTGCTTTATTCAAATCTTGTCTAATTTTCTAGATATTCGTTTAATTTTCTAAATTTTTTATATAAGAAATTGCTACAGAAGGCAAGGAAACAAAAGAGTTGCGATAAATATTGTGAAATTAATAATAATAAAAACAATGATAATGATAATAATGATAATCTAATGTGTCTTTATTCATTCGATTGCAAAAAAAACATATGAAAAGTTTCAAGACGATAAAATTAGGATTGGAAATTTTTAATTTCTTGTCAATTTACAATTTACTTTGCATACCTTAAATCGATCGATGAAAAAAAGGCTGTTTTTAAAACGTTCGGTACATATACATTTCCGGAATTTTCCACACTTAACAAGCTGTCTATGACTAATTATAGCATATGAGTAATAACTTTATAAGACGGGAGAGATTTTATTAGGAAAGATAGCCAGAAGTTATTGTGCGACAACAATTAAAGCATTTTTGGCGACTGACTTCGAAATCTGATGGATGTTATCTTGTCCTCGAAGAGTTGCTGGCTAGAATTACTCATAATTTTAAAGGAATTTTCAGTTGTTATTCACACGCACTTAGAAAAGTAGTTCAGATTATTCAAACTTGAAGAAAAAGAGCTATAACTTGATATGGAGGTACAAAGGAAGGTCATGTAAACAGTAGAAAGAAAAACCGTGGGAAAGTTTATTTTGATAACAAGGTTGTTGAGAGTAGAAGTCAAACAACTCAATTTGATCCTCGGTCTTTAAGCGTAGCTTATATTGTTATGTGTTGTACATTCATCTTCGTTATGGCTTCGGCGGTCAAAATGTGTTATATCGGTCAAAAGACCCTTCAAAACTTCTCCTGAGTTAAAAAGGATGTGATGACTTTCTTTCGTGCAACTTTGCATTCCCCGCCGACTAAATCATTTGATAGGCTTTTTCTCTCACATTCAGTCACGCTTCTTGATTGCTGGTGTTGTGTTTATTCGAAAACACTCGATTATTATTGTTAAAAGGAACGGGGGAACCCAAAGTAAACGAAAGACCAATCGATATGACGTTTTGTAAGTTGAAGGAAAGTTACGATAAGGATCCATTTACCCCAAGCTACAAATTCGACGATCTTGACAAGCTCATAAAATTGCTAAGTTGCTGAAAATTTCCAACGCACAGAACGCTATTTGCCTCATAGCACTTGAATACTTTCCAACTTTAATTAAAATTGTAATACTGTGCACTCATTTCATTTGACAGGTCTGTCACAAAGATACGCGGTTGAGTCTTCGACGAAAGGAAAATATTTCGCAGTGCGTTTGAACGAATTAAGAAGTTCAAACTTCGAAGTTTGAATGTCAACAAAGCCAAAATGGAGCTCGAAATTTCAGGAGTTAGAAGGCGATCAACACGACGCCGAGAAGTCTTCATTGTCGTTCTTTTGGTTGTTCTTTTCTCAGTTGCGGCATTTCTTATTGGGTATTTCGCAATGAAGGCTGAGGAAAATACTGTAATATGCCGTCCAGGCGATGGGAGAGATGGAAATAGTAAGAAACCGAAGGAAAAGTACCATGACATGTTTCAAGAGGAAGTAAAGGCCAAAAATATCGAAGAAAATCTCAGGTGAGAGCTTTCCTTAATTCTCTTTACCTATGCTAAAGGTTTAAGAAACAAAAGGGATCTACTCGCATTGTTTATCGCCTTGATGATGATATAATGGAGGGTTCCACAAACTTGTTTGACAAAATACATATCTGGGTGATAGGAAACATAAAGCGATTAAAAAATAAATGTTTAAGCATAACTTCACACCAATTTTTATAATTCACCTAAACACTGCAACAGCTGTCTTTAAAGGCAATCGTAAGTATAGTGATTTTTTTTTCATGTTTGGTTTAATAATCCTCTTGAGGGATACCAACTGAAATATCCATTCGATTACAAGCCGACATGATTTTTGTCTTCCAAATAATGTTATTTTGGGGAACTAAGGTCAAACACCACCCTTAAACCATGTATTTCGCAACTAGAAAAGGGAATACAGAGCCATTGAATAACGTGTTTTCTTTTCAAATAATAAATATTTTTCTATTGATTTAGTTTGATAAAACATAAACCAAATGCTTCGCAAGCTATGTTAACGAGTCTGACTTAGATATTGAAAGGTAAATCGAGTTATTTTCGTTCACAACGAATTGATGCCAACCAAAACTAAGAGTTGTAAAGGATAAGGAACTTAAAACTTAAATTGTCTTCAACAGACAATTTTCAGTGTTAGTAAAGATCAATTCCGTGCAGTATTTGTGACGGTAAGCGCGTCTGTAAACGAGTTACGACTTTTCGTAGCTTACCCCTTAGGTGCGCATTCTCTGTTTCAATGCAAATACAGACTACGTCCGCGCTGTGCCGGTTAAATTTGAAAACGGCTTTTTTAATTTTATCTGCATCAAAAGATCTGCGTCCACACGGGAAAAGATGAAAATATTTGCTTTTACATTACAACGATCAGCCACGTGATAAACGATTGAATGCACCTTTGAGCATGCGTGCTCTCCTCGCCGGTTGTGAGCGTCGTTTTGAAAATTGTTGTAAAATCTGTTAGTTGTACGGTTGCAGCAGAAAATTCTTAAATAATCTTAACAAAATGTTGCAAAAAGATCGAAAGTAAAAACACCTATTCACGTGATGGAGCGGAATTTTTAAAACAGACGAAAATAGAGCTAAAACAGACGAAAATAAAGCTTCAGCAATTACGTTATCCGCTACGTTGAAATTGTCATTTGAGGAGGCCTCGGGCTAAAAGATCGGTCAAGTGCATGACGTCAGTGTTTTCGTTTTCGTTTACAAAGATTTCTCGAGAAGATTTCAAATTTATCCATTCTAGCCGGTGTTTTCAAAACGCTTCGTTTTCGGCGACAGATTCCCCCGGTGTTTTGTGGATGGAAGGCCTAACCCAGTTAACCTTTTCACTCCCATGACCTGATTGTTGATTCTCCCCTCTAGCTGCTACACATTTCCTTGTGAAGCAGCTGGGAGAATTTGGTGTTAGATCAAGATGACAACTTTAACCTAATAAGTTTGAGTATTCTCATTTCCTTCTGTCGCGTGTTCACCATTTCTGGGAGCTAAGGGGTTAATATAGCTGCCTTTTCGAATTTTTTACCCGTTAATCAACTCTTTAACTTCCAGAAGTGATTAACAAGTATCTTTTCGGCATAATGTCTAAACAAAATCCAGCAAACAGGTCACGAGAATGTTCATACTTATCAGGTCAAAGTTATTACCTCGATCTGACACCAAATTCCCGTTAACTTAGTTACAAGGAAATGTGCAGCAGCTAGAAGGGAGAATTAATAATCAGATATTGGGGGTAAAAGGGTTAATAGCACGTTCAGCACTGTTATTGTTCATTTGATCCACCACAATACAGGTTCATCACGTCAGAGCCCCATATGGCTGGATCGCAGCGTCAACGAGACCTTGCAGAACACATAGCGGATAAATGGAGGATATATGAGTTCGACGAAGTGGAAATGCCGGAGTACGAAGTGCCACTCTCTCTCCCTCAAGAAGACAATCCAAACAAAGTAGAGGTTGTCGTCAACGGAACTAAAAAGCTGACAATTCTGGGAAAATTAAAGGCAAGCGACTAGTCCAATTGGTGCATTATCGTAATAAAATACTCTGATGGGATATCATCCTCTCTCGGTATGATGCATTGGCATTCAGAGCCTTTTTTTTTTTCCATGAATGGTTAAAAGAGCAAAGCAATAAAGGAAAGAAAATTCAACTATAGCAAACAAAATCAGGACGGAATGAATTTTATATTCATTCTTTTCTTTCCGTTGTACCATTTTGCAGGCAAAACCTGAGCCTAAAGCCAAGAAAGCATTTGACTATTTTCCGTATTTTGCATACTCACCAAACGGAACTGTAGAGGGTGAACTCGTTTTTATAAAGGAAGGATCCGAGGATGACATCAATCTTCTCTTTAATCGCACTAATGTGTCTCTAACAAACAAAATTGTCATTGTAAGAGGGATCTACGCACGGGTAAGTACACGCAAACTTTATTTCAAGCAAGCAGTCATGGTGCACGACCCAATGTAGTTAAACGATAAATCAAATAAAAAATATATATATATTCCAAAAAGGAAATTATTTCCTTTTCTTCCCCTTCTGGAACAAATAATTATGATCCGTCAAGCTCATCTCCTGATGAGACCTATAACTAGTAAAAGTACTTCAAGCTTTGTTTAAAAAATTTATTAAAACGAAACAAGCAAAGTTTTTGCGCGCTGGATCAAATTGAATCAAAAGGTAATATCGAGTGACTGCCATTTTGTACTTCTTTTCGTGATTGGAGAACCTGTATGGTTTCACGCGGATTTCGGGTTAAAGGTGTTACATAACATATGAACATTGATTAGCTATGTAGTTTGAGACGCAGTCAGCTGAAACAGCCCCCCTCCCCCCCTCCCTGTCTAAAATAAATAAAATCCAAAGGGTGAAGGGACAGAGAGGGAGACCATTTAAAGAGCTGGAGGGAAATAGAACACATAATCCGGCCTGAAGGGCGAGACAGATAGAACGCGCAAAAAAGGACGAATGTTCTGAAAAGGAGCGTCACCTTTTATCATTAATCCTTAATAGGATAATTTAAGCTAAATGGTGGATGATGAACGATGCCGCTGTTGTTGTTCATTTAAATATATCGTCCATTTTATGCGTTGCACTCACTTTTGTTGATAAATATAGGTACTTCGTAGGCTGCGAAATCAATGTTAAGTTAACATGGACTGATTGTTCCGAAAATTCTTCCCTTCCATTACAGACTGACTTGGCAGTCAGCCTCGGCGCTATTGGAGCACTGGTATTTCCAGATGTGCACTCATCCAGACCAAATGATACCTATCCGTACACGTCAAAAATCTCTGGCGATGCTGTGTTTGAGAAACCAGAGGCCGCAAACTTTGGTGACCCACTGACTCCCGGAATACCCTCTATTGAAGGAATGTACCGAGGACCCAAAAATTTAACGGCCTTCGCAGCAATACCAACTCAACCAATCTCTTACAATGATGCACTAAAGTTGCTTAGTCACCTTCAAAGTAAGAGAAGAATTTGACTTCGAACGCGAAAAAATAGTAAAAGAGAAAACTTATCATCCTCAATTTTTTTAACTTTCCAACTGCATCACACGTACCACTGAATTTCTATTTTCTAAAAACATTTAGGAGAAACTTTTTCTCTAATCATGTATCACTGCTATTTTTAATGTCGTTTAATTCTTGCTTTTGTTTGGAGAAATGGAATCGAGCCCAAAACATTCCTTTTCGTATTTGCAGGCAACGTGGTTCCAGAAGAATGGCGAAAAGAACTTAACGTCCCTTTTAGGAATGCCACAGGTCTCAACAGCTCTGACACCATTGTGCGACTTTCTGTCAATAACGTGGTAAAAATAAAATCCATCTATAATGTGATAGGAACAGTTTATGGTCGTGAGGAACCAGACAGATACGTATTAATCGGCAGTCATCGAGATGCTTGGTTTTTGGGAGCCGCTGACCCTTCAAGTGGCACCGCAGCTCTATTGGAAATATCGCGCGCTGTCAGCAAGATGCTTCGAGAAGGATGGAGGCCTCGACGAACCTTGAAGTTCTGTAGTTGGGGGGCGGAGGAGTTTGGCCTGATTGGCTCAATAGAATGGGTAGAACAAAATCAGAAGATTCTATCCGATAGAGCCGTTGTTTATTTGAACACAGACGTGGCCGTTGGTGGTAATTACGTATTGGCAACCCAAAATTGCCCCCTTCTCTCGACAGCCATATTTGATTGGGCTAAGAAAGTCAAAGATCCCAACGCACATGGGAATAAAACAAGCCTGTATGACATAATGGTGGAAAGAATGCCTTCACCCAACAATCCCAGCGAGCCCTATGTTGTACCTTACCTTTTTCTCAGTGATTACTTCCCTTTTTATATGTATCTGGGGATACCTTCCGCCGATTTCAGCTATTTCTATGGGCCTGAAATGGAACTGTACCCTGTCTATCACACGCAAGAAGACAACTTTTACTGGATGAAAACATTCATCGATCCTAAATTTGAGTTTCACGAGGCTGTTACAAAATTTGAAGGAGGCTTGCTGATAGAACTGTCAGACATCTCTATTTTACCATTCGATGTCAAGCGTTACGCAAATGCCCTACTAGCTGGTTATAAAGCGCTTCTCACAAAAATGAATAACGAAACACTTCCGACTGGGTACATTAAAAAAGCAGTTGACGACTTCATGAAAGCCAGCCAAGCTTTCGAACGATCAAAGTCAAAACTGAACTCGGATACTGCTGACCCATTGCAAGTGCGCATGGTCAATGATCAGATGGTGCAAATCGAGAAGGCATTTATCAGTTCTTCAATGCTCTCAGATATTTTTCTTTCCAGGCATTTGTTTTTTAGCACAAACTCACCCTTCCCCGGGGTTTTGAAGGCATTCAAGGAAGGAAGCATAAATGAAGTAAAAATGCAGATGACACTGGTAGTAGAGGCGATATCTTCTGCGGCAAAAATATTACAGCCACTTCCGTCTGCCTAAGAAAGCAGAGACAGAGCATCGTAATGCGAAAATTTTATGGTTGCACGACAAGTTATCGATGCTGTTTAAGTTAGACTCTAGCTTTTTTTTTCTCAATGGCCTTCATCTTAGTTATCATATTTTTTTTTCAAAGTGGAGGAATTTTTAATATTTTGCTTCGTCTGCAGTGCTATAATGTTTTATGATTGGCGCTTTTAAGCACAAGAAAAAAGGAGGTCAAGTTAAGAAGCATTACCCATTAAACCAGTCTACCGGAAGGGCTATGTAAGAGTGGTTGCACAAAGCATGTTAATAAAAGGACTCCTGAAATGGAGGCTCGCTAGCTGACTTGTTTAGTACTTAATTTCTACCTTTCTTGTTTTGTCTCCTCTTTCGGATTACCTTTTCGCTGCACAAACTTTTACATATTCTTCGATAATCCTTGAGCCAGTTTACGCCATTGAGACAGTTAATTACATTTAGACCGTTAAAGAGGGTTGTCCTGTTCAATCGCCTTTTGTAATGAAAATAGCAAACATCGTCTCAATATTGCGAATATTGACATTTATGCCTGTTTATGCCCTTTCTGTCACAAATTATGCGTGTCATTTATCGGCACATTTTACAGTAGTTGGAAGCAAGGATTTTTAAAGTAAAACTTGGAAGAAAAAGCTTGATAGGCAGAAAATTTCGAGCGTATGAAACCCTTTCATATGTAATTTCAGGAAAAATCACGGAATATTAAATGACATCGACTCAATACATTGCTAGTGTCCTTGCGTTCTAAGTCTTATTTTGCATCCTCGAGTGACGGACTTCATGCACACTTTAGCTGTTCCCTTTTTTTCTTCGATCAGCGTTATTTTATTTTCTCAAATTAACAGGGGATAACTTGTGCACCAAAATTATGCAATCCAAAAGATATTGGTCACCCTGCTCGTTCAAGAGCTAAAGATTATCTTACATCTTTACCTTGTCCATTGATTGAAAAAAAAATACCGTGTTCTCGGAATGCGCGCGCTTATTCGCCTCTATATGTGATTTTTATACGCAGTACAGGATGCGCAGTGCAATATCGAGGAATCATCGTAAGACCTTGCAATACTCGTGATGAGTTTAGGAATGAGGTTTAGATTGCAATGAATACATACATTTGCCACACTTAGAAGCATTTTAGAGGGAAATTAATTCTCATAAGTATAAGCTGAACATCTCTTGAGATCACTTAAGATAGTCTACATACAGTTGGACTGTTCCAAGATCTCCTTGAGGATAGAGTGGGACTAATTGATGAACGACCCATGGCTGAAATTACGACTTTAAGCAGGAAAATTGCTTGAAAGGTAGCACTGGTCACGATTTTTGTAGAAATGGCTTAGAGGCGAGTGAAAAAGTTTTTGGCGGGTTACGGCTACGTAAGAAAATTCCCGTTCTCAAAGTGACGAAAATTGGACTCAACTTCCGATGGCTCGAGCCACGCCACAAACTCCAGGCGAAGCCTAGCCAAAATTGATTTCACATGAACTTCTTTCCCCCTTTTACTGGAAAATGAGCCTTCAGGTCAGAGCAGCAACAAAGTAAACTGCGTGTCAATCCAAAACATCCAATTTGTTTGAAACAGCAGTGTATTTTTTTCTTTTTTTTCGCTTGAGCAACAGTTAATGTAATTTGCGAAGTTTTTTGGCTTAACTACACAGTTCTTTATATTGCATTAAAGCAAGAAAACTCTTGATCGAAGTTGGTTAAAACATTTAATGTTTGTATATAATGACAAAGAGCCTGTTATTTTGGTTCATGAATTTTTGGTTGTCTGTTTTTGTTTCGTTTCGGTTTGTTTTTCTTAAAAGCCCATTATTAATTCCTGACTAGCTTAATTAGCTCTGTTCGATAACTCGCAACCCCAAAAGAAATGAAAGGGTAATGCATAAATAGCGGTTCGCGGTTCCTAAATATGTTTGACAAGATTTGGCTTCTTATTTCATCCAATATTTACAACCAGCGTTATTAATAGTTGACGCATCATGTTTGGAAAGTTCTATTTATGTGTAGAGTAATACTCCTATTTCTACCACACTCTAAATTATTGACAAGACCCCCTCCCCAATTTAATGTTGTCTGTATGTGGCAAAAGAGATAGAATTATAGAAATAAGAGGTGTAACTACTTCCGTTGAAGCTAAATGTAACCGCTTCCGAGGAAAGCTGCGAAATATTTCCCGGTTAGATTGACACCTCCGTGATTAGTTCCTTTTAGACGGAAAATTATAGTTAGCGTTTTAGTTCAGGATAAGACCCCGTGTGATCAAGATCGTTTTTGAATAGAAGACAAGTTAGATCGTAATCGTCTATAAAGTAATCAAGACCCGCGAACGTTAGTAAGCAATGACTTGTTTTGTGATTATGTTACCTAACTTGTAGTCGTTACTCAAAGCGAAACTCATCGCTCGTTTTAAACTTTCTTTTGGTTCTTTTAATTACCACGTGCTCGTTTCCAAAATCGAGATTATTCTTAAGCTATGATCACAGTACTTAGGTAATTTCTTCATGTAACGATTTCAGTTGTCCACTTCGATATAAGAACGCCTCAAGGAGTAGGAAAAGGAATAGGAAAAGGAATAAAGAAAGAAAAGATCCTATATTGGTTTAGTGTTTATCGCATGTGCGTGTATCAAACGGAAATCTAGTTTCTAATTCTAGCTTGAAAAGAAAAATTTAGAAGAGGTTGATTTTAATGTTTCAGCAACTTTGTAGGCGATTCTAGGCACTCGTATGTATTTGTACTTTGCTGGGAGAAATCGTGTTTTGATTTAGAAAGGATCCATTACAGGTGTTCAAGGCCTAAATATAATAACTCTCCTAAATGTAATAACATTTGGTCCTAAATGTAATAAGCCTCCCATGCAATCGATCCTAGACCATTGTTATTACATTTACGACTTTCAGAGTACAATATCTTACCTTCCGTCATCTTGAACTTCCCCTATCTTAAAAAAATTGTATGTGCTTTCCTCTAACTATTTGCTTCTATGCATAAATAAACGAATTTAAGAGAGT